TGGCTCAAGGTTTTCAACCCTTCTGGAGATCCCATACCTCTGGGAATTTGATAAAAACTCTAGATCCCCCAACCCAGAACCTCCTTAAGGTCATCCTAAGACCCCTTGACCCGGATGATTTGAGTATATATATATATATAATGACCTTTCCCTGCTCAGGGAAACAAAAGAAACCTTTCAAAGTGAAGCTTGAGCCTCAAAACCGCTCATCTCTGGCTCTGCGGTTCAGAAAAACAGCCCGGAGCACAAAGACTTCCCCACTGCATGTATGTTCAGAGGTTGGAAAGGCGCCTCTGGCTCCGGAGACTTGCTTCCTCCCACTCCGGCCTCTGAAATGGCAGCCCCGCAGGGCTGTGACTGAACACGACAGGTGCCTTCATCCCAGCTGGGGTTGGAAGACCCGCTCCCGGGCCGCCGAGGGCGAGGGGACTGACTGCGCCCGCCGTGTCCTCCAGGGGGCGCCCGCGCCCCAGCGTTCGCGTCCCGGGCGGGCCGCGGCCAGCCCTGCAAGGCATCTCCAGAGTGCGGGCTGGACACGGCCTGGAGAGCAAGGCGAGGGCATTGCTAGGTGTTGTGGGAGTCGGGCCAACATCATCCTGCCCTTTGCTCTCCTCTGTTGGACGGGAGCGGAATGTCGCCTGCGAACATTGCCGGGCGCAGAGGGCTCAGCGGGCTGTTCCTGCTGTACCACCCACCTGGTTTGGATGTCCTTACCCGGGTGGACACATTTTCTTTTTCAGAAAAGGGAGAGAGGAAAACAAGGGGGAGACCGATGAGTCTCTGTTGAGGGGGAACTACATGGAGAAACCAGCTTCAAGCATCAAACAACATCCAGGGGCAGCACTGAGTATTGTCTTCATTACCTTGTGCCACTCCCTGGACACTCCTTGCTCAAACACACATTCCTCCCCAGCCATGTGCTCAGCCCCTTTCCTGAAGAAAGCTATTTGCCCTTGCAGACCCCTTATCTCGTAGCTGAAGTCATCCCAGATCCCCCACACCTTGGCTTCCCGCACTGGTATTGCATTCTGTCACCACATGGCTATTGCCTGTTTCTTACCATCTCTCCAGCCTGGCTATGAGCTTCTCAAAGTCAAGGGCTACCCCAGTACCTAGTATCAGGCCCTCAGCCAGTGTTTGATAAGCTTATCAACCAGGTGGATTCATAGAATGGAACAAAATGAATGAGACAAGTAATTACAGGTAATGAGAGGACAGATAGATGATCCTCCTGGTTTCAATATGAACACACCTAGAAACTTCTAGATGAAGGTATAAAGTGGGCAAGGAGGGTCAACCTTGTGAGTGCCCTTCAGTCCTCTTGTCCATCTGCACCCAAACCCAAACCCAGTATGACCAAGCCTGGCAAGTATTTCATCCATAATCATGTCTCAGCTTTTCTCCTCTGAAATGCTTTTTTATTTATTGCTGCATTTTCGGTTTTTTTGAGAATTTCTCAATTCTTCCTCATCATACTTTCTCCGTTCTTTTTTTTTTTTTTTAAGTCTCAATTATATTTTCAGGGTTAAAAAGAATTTCCCAGTGCTTAATCCTGGAGTTTTTAACTGGGCATGCATATCGTAATCAACTCTTGAGATTTAAAAAAAAATCTACAGATGTTCCTACTCCATCCAGTCCTACTGAAGCAGAAGCTACAGGGCTTCATTCCTTCCTAAGGGATGAATATATTTTCAAATCTCACACAGGAGCTCTGATGTGCAGAACTGGTTGAGAAGCAATGGTTTAATTCCACAAAAACCTTTATGCTAAATCTGCTCCCACATGGTTGCATATCCCCGGCTTTACACCCTACGCTCCTGGACTGATTCAGGATTTCCCTTCTGTCCCACTTTTCCTACACTGTTTTCTGCTAAGATGTGACCTGTTGTTCCAGTTTTCTCCAGCCAATTCTGTGCCATGACAGCTGTAAACACATTCCAGACTAAGTCATCTTCACCAGGTGGAAACAATAAAAGCCACGCTCCCTGTTCTGCAGGGGGAGCAGCCTTTGTGTGCTATTTTCCATGCCTAACATCCAAGTGGCTTTATTGCAGCAATAAAAAAACTACATGGAGATGCCACCTGTCACCCTTACTTGCTGATGCTCTGTGTATGTGTGTGTTTAAATAAGACCACATTGGGCATTAAAAAAATAATGATCTAAGTTATTCATCTGACTGCTTTAAGGGCACACGTTATTCTAAGTGCTGTGGAATAAAAGAATTTTAGAACGTGAAATTCATACTCCTCCCTTATATCATGTACAAGGATAATGATATCCTTTGCTTCTAATAGGAAGTTATTAGCTCTGCTAAATGAAGAATCCGGAGATCTCTTTCTTCAACGTGAAATTCATACTCCTCCCTTATATCATGTACAAGGATAATGATATCCTTTGCTTCTAACAGGAAGTTATTAGCTCTGCTAAATGAAGAATCTGGAGATCTCTTTCTTCGGGTATGGCTTGATCCAGGAGCTTGAACCAAACACTTAGCTTCTCTCTTTCTCTTTTCTCTGCTTTCTGTGGTGTTGATATTAGGCTCACAATGACCCCCCCATGGCCCTCTGTGTACGGCAGCAAAATGGTCACAGTACTTCTGTACGTGACCTCCTAACACCCTTCCATCCACAAGAGGGATGAGAGTCTTCCTCACTTCTGCAGAAGAAAGGGAAAATTGTGCTTTCCCAGAATCCACGTCACACACCCCACCCCCACGTCTAGCCTCATTCTTCTCCAATCAGGTCACACTCCTGACCCTCAACCAATCACTGTGTCCTGGGGGGTTGTGGTGCTCTCATTGGTCAGACCTGGTCATGTGGCTGCTCATGCAGCAGGTGGAGTGGGAACAGCTCCACCCAAGCCACATGGGCTGACCCGGGACAG